ATAGCACTAATACATTGCTTTTTTAAAAAAAATGTTTCAAGCAACTGACCACGAAAGCCAGCAACTTCTGTATCATGCAATGACTAGTCACTTGTTTAAAAACTTTTCACAGATTAAATCAATAAAGAAGTGTTTAAAAACAGTGTCTGGAACACAAACAACACTTGAAAACTCAGAAATCAAATTACTGATTCCAGAAATGATGGGAAAAATTAATCTAAACTGATCAACTGCCTTTCTCAGCATCCATTTGAGACACCATTTGATGTGCTGGAGATCAAGTGGAAACATGTTGAATGAGAACATGAAGAAAGTTTACTAAGATTTTTTGCTGTTTACGGAAAAAAAAAAGTATTCTTTGAGATAAAGATTATTTTAAAAATAAGTTCTAAGTTCCAAAAACAAATAATGTCAAATCCCCCTGGGAATAAAAAAGACAACATTGGCTATTCACAAGGGCCTGAGGATAAGTCACCCTGATAAAGTCTTAAAAATACTAAATAAAACATTATTTTTGATTTACAATTCAGCTTCTTCAGACATTAATCCAACAGCTATCTGAAAGACACCCACCCAGTGCACCAGGGTGTGCTATCAAAAGAGAAAAGCTTTGTGCATTAACAAATAGCAAAGCCTTACTAGCACAAATCAGTCAGGTAGACACTGGTGCCACTTCATCTTGTTCTTGGTGCCACTTCAGACTGTTCCCAACTTCAGCTCTGAAACTCAAGTTGACCCAAGGTAGTCTGGGCTGGGCACCTGCCTGGCTCACAGCACACCCAGGGTGACAGCTTAAGGACCACAGCTAAATGAGAATTCATCCCAAGTTCCTGAGAGCTCTGCTGGCCAAAAGCACACAGCTCCATTACCAGGCTCTGCTCTCTCTGCAGCAGCTGCAGAGGAGGATCCAGGTCATGGACAGAGGGGAATGGCCTCAGACCTGAGAATCCCTCTCTTCTGCCTTTAGCTGTGAGGGGCATGTTCTCCCCAGCTTCCTCTTCTCTCCAAATGCCCCACGCTCCTGCCACAAATCTGGATGCTAGGGATAGCTCACAATTTCTGGCTGAAGAACACTGACACCCTCCCTCTGCCGCATTCCATCCCAAAGTGGGCATGACAACACTTCTTTCACTTCTGTATGTCCCCAAAATACTGCACACATGTCTCAGGTAGTACTATTATTTCGGTGTTCATAAGTTTAAATAAATGATGTGTGAAGCCAAAAGCTTCTATATGTTTTTCTTCAGGCAAACACTGAAATATTTCAGACATGGAATGTGCTGGTGGACTCAGATAAGCTGATGGTCCAAATTTTTTCAACCCTTAACTTCCAGCTTCACACTCACTAATGCTCTGGCCTCTGTAACAGTCAGTTAGCAGCAGTCTTTATATAATAAGAAGTGTTTTGAAATACCTCTTCCATTTTCTATTTAATCTCCTCTTCCCTTGTTTTAGCCCATCTTTCTTCACAGAACAGAGGAATTGAAAGAGAAATTAGCCAAGATAACAAACACTGGATGAAGTACAGAAATCACAGTGGTCCCTCTTGTGTACTTTAAAACCCTCCAGCTCCTTTCCCTGAGGCATCCACAAGAGTTAGTAAATGGGTCAGAAAACGCGTAAGAAGTTCAGAAGAGCCATATCAGCAATCTGTAAATAAAGTCTTCAGTGACCTTCCTGTGAATGGATCAGTCTGCAAAGCAGACTGTTGTTTGTGAGATACCAACTGTGACACTGGGACAGAACTCTGGAAAGGGCCTCTTAACCACTTTAAAGCAAAGGCAGATGATAAAGTCAGACCTTGAGAAGGACTCCACCAAAGAGGTTATTTAATCTGTTCTTTAAACTGTTTAAAAGAAAACATGGTTGGCACTTGCACAGGTCCAGGTTAATTCAAACCATGCTTTTAGACTGGATTACTATGAACTACAGGCACGAGGACTGTGCAAGTCAGACAAACAGAATTCACATCTGTAACTCCCAGATCCCACAAGTGCACCATGTTCCTCAGCTGTGACACACCTCAGATCCACCATTCATTCAGTCTTTATCAGTTGCATACAGCTCTCAAACACCACTCACACCAAGTCAACTCAAATGCTTAGAGTAACAGGTAGGACAACAACTTGATTGCTTAATTCAAGATTACTGTAAGTGTTCAAATAACTCTGTGCACACAACACAGATTCATTCCTTTGTATCTTCCAGTACTCCCTTTCTAAACATTCCAGGAGTTAAGTTTTAAGAAAGAAATAACTGAACAATGGAGCTCTACCTTGAAATACTAAAATTGAGATTCAAGATTAAGGGAATTTAATCACCCCCCACTCTAAGCAGGTTCTGTCCTGAAAAACACTAGCCTGACACAGCACTACATTATTTCCTATAATTTAGGTCTCACACCATATGTTAACACGCTCATTACAACTTTGTTAAACCCTTCAATTACATCCTTTGGCAGAAGGTTGTAAGATTTAACCATTACATGGTTACAAAGTCATTTCATCAGCCCTAAATTAACAACACCTGGTTTCCAATAGATTTATGACTGGCAATTGATTAGCCCTGATTGAAGTTCTTCCCATATTTGGAGCACACAGGCTCTCTGCACTGATAGCTTTCTCCCCTAGATAAGACAGAAACTCAGAGACACATTTTTCCTTCAGTTATGGCATTGCCCACTTCTGGTCTCTTCTTGCAAGAATTTAATTACTCTTCATCTTTCCACCTCTGTCACATTCAATCAAAAGAAACCATCCAGTTCAAAGTTCAAGGGGAAAGCAGACTGCAAATATTTAAATCTAACCTCACTATCTTTTAGAAACAAAGCAATCAGAAAAATCAGTTAACTATTATCCTTTGATTATGCAATCCTAGAAACAAGAGCAAATTCAAGTTATTGCATATCCAGCGATTCTTCATACAATGAAGAAAAGGCTGAATGAACTGTACATAGTCTGGAGTACGTCTTTGATCTTTTTCAAATGGCTTGTCAAAATTGTCTAACCACTACTGCATTGCTTTAAGTCAACATTTATACATAAACAAGTGAATTATAATAGCACAGAGGCATCTGACATGTAACAGCAAAAAAGGTAGTTCTGCAAGATAAAACGTTAGTCAGAAAGTAAATTTGTCTTCAGCTCAAGAGCTAACATACTACATTTAATAAAACAAACATGAGATATGTACACAGTGACACTTAATTCCTAATCCTAATATGACTGATAACCCATGCAAAATTTATAAAGTACTTCAGAGGGGAAGTCCACTTTATAACTCAGTGAGCCATGGAAAGATGAAGCAACTTTCTCAGGGTCATGCAGCACGTTACTGCTGAAGCAGAAAAAAAGCAGTCAGGGCAACCAAATGACAGTGCCAGACCCTCGTTCTTAAATCAGCCCTCCTCCTCCTTATGAAAATTTAATTATACTGACTCTTTTCTGGTGCACTTCTTATATAAATAAAAAGACAGCAAGCAGTCAAGTTTTTCCTGCAGGCTAAAGGAGCAAGAATCTGACCAAAAAATGTTCAGTTTACTTTATTCCCTTTTAAAAACTGCTGCATTTAGATTAGTTAGGTTTGCAATACTTCTCAACTTGCAGCCCCAAAAGTGAATAGAACTAAAATCTAATTTCACACTCAATTTTAAAAAAAATTAATTTCCCATTTTTCTACGCTGATGTAAACACACTTCAAAGATGCCAATTACAATGCCTTTACAGATATTCCTTATCCTCTAATTTCTTTTCCATCCCAAATTGTATTTACTGGCAAATCAACTTAGTATCAAAGAAAAACAAATGCAAGACACTTGTTTTCATAACAATTAAAACTACTTTCAAAATGTAAATAAGGTCTCTCCATAATACTAAAGACTGCTGAAGAAACTATTTCCTCTGAAAAACACAATATTTTTAATTTTTAAAAAAGCTCAAAAATATTTTTTTGAAGATATAACATGAATTTACTTAATGAAACTGTGCATTTTAACTTCATTTTTTAAGACTTTACAGAAGAAATGCAGCAATGTAAAGACTGTTTCTCTGCAAAATATAGATACCACAATTTCTCAGCCATAAGTCCTGTATGAAAAATATTCTGCATTAAAAATAAGCAGGTCTGCACTGGGTAATCAAAAGTCACAAAAGGTTTCTGAAATGTGCTTCTTTCCAGCACATCTGATCTCTATGCCAGAGATACTATACAGACGTTCAGACATCTATTTTCCTCCTTCAACACTGCACACATCAACATATCTTTTGTGTGTTTTATATATTTGGGAAGCATAATATACAAGTTTTTACTTGAAAATACTTTAGGTATATTGCAACCTATGTATTTTGCTTATTTTGATACCCTGCTAACAATTTCATCTAGAAATTTAGGATAACAAAACTGAAATGATGAGAAAAGTTCTAGAAGCATGCACTCCTTCCATTCACAGAGTTTAAAAAAAAATATGAAGTGAAATTAGCCTAGTGAAGCAGCTAGATGTCTTGTTTGTTTTCAATATTAGAAATGTAAAAGAAAGCAAGGTCATGCAATGCCAGTTCTATTTTTTATATAAAAACACGAGAGTGTTGAAATACCTTTAGTAATGATTGCTGCATTTTACAATAAATACATATTACTGCTTTTTAAGCTTAGGGATTATTTCAAATGGCCTTTTATTATATCAAATAAAATAAGGATTCTATTTATACAGAAAGAGTCGAGTAATAAAATGAAGCCCATATTCCTTAAGACAAGATGCATTCATGCCTTTCCCACTGGAGAGACTGGTTCAACAATTTTACAGTTAAACAGAATTAATTCTACTCTCAAAAATCCATTGACCTTAAGCTTTTAACAAACATTTTCAACTGCAGAGTGTATTGTCAATATTTACAAATCCTTAAAATTATATTTCACTAGAACAGCTTTTATTTGCTATATTAATATTTCCTTGCAAATGTATGCTTATCCATATCAGAGAAGGAGAAACAGCTGCTACTCACAGGAAATCTCTGGGGTCCTACAGCAGGTCTTGGCTGGGCAGGAACTGGCAGCAAGGGCACTGAAACAAGAAGCACCTTTTAACACCATTTGTTTTACCTAACAGTTGTTGTAGTTATTTCCAAAAGCATTTGCAATAAAAAGCCACGATTAAAATCTGCTACTTTTACTCTCACATGTCACAGTTCCTACAATTAACTTCACCCAACCGTTCCCTCCCCTACAACATGCAACAGGGCAATTAGGATTCTCCTAGTTAATTTACATAATTTAGTTCTGCTTTTTCCAGAATTAAATTGCTCCTTGTTGCAGGAACGCAAACTAGAACAGTTATTCAGCCAAAGACATCCCTTAGACAAAGCTGACAGAGACACTAACAATAATTTCACGTCTCAAATAGAAGGATACATGATTAATTTGCCTTCTCAACTTCATGCCACTCAACATTTCCTAGGCACGTCCCGGTCTCACCACAAAACTACCACAAGAAGCATGGACATGAGAGACACTAAATGGTAAAAATCGCTGCTCATGAGGGTAAAATGAGGCAAGCAGCTGCAATTAACAGCACACAAAAATTACTTAGTCTGTCTGGCCTTGCCACCACAGTGGTGTGTGCAACAGTGATCACAGAACTGCTGATCTCAGATGAAAGACAGTGATTGCACAGAGATGCCGAGAAGAATCAGGAGACCTTTTCCTGAAAAAATAACCTCTAAAACTAGTATTTCAGGGGGATTAACATGGATGATCTGTCCTTACAATTGCACTTTGAAATGCTAGTCACAAAAAGCTATTTCCCAAAACATTCACTAAATGTTATGGCAAAATGCACAAAGTGCTACAGCTGGATCACCTTGGGAACTGAACCTATACTCGAATCTCGAATACAAAGTGTAACAACAGCTTTCCTATTTTCCAGAGCACTTTTTATTTCCTCTCACAGTTGTGTTAAGTGGTTAAAAATACAAACATTTTCATGTTAAATGAAAGGCCTAGAGAAGTTAAATAAAGCATTTCCAACCACATAATGTGTTTGCTCATTTGCTAAAAGCTTTTACTAAGATTCTTCTCTAGTTTGTTTTTAGCACTTCTGAAAGTGATAGGGAAACATTTTCCACAGGCAGGGTTAAACACTGACTTTGCAGACAGCTACTGTGTTACACTTCAGAGCAGGAAAGATACTAAGAAATGCTTCTCGTTGGAGAGAGAAGTTGGGTGTATTTCCCAACACAGATGTTAGCTACGATGCCTCAAAAATGCCTTTTCCCTTGGAAAGCAAGGCACAAGAACTAATGCATTAGTGGGTTTTTTTTCAGTTCGTGTCCATGTCTGGCTTCTATCCACTTTCATTAGGTACTTGTGGTTTGCTGGTTCAGAGACTGATGGGGTAAACTAATTGCAGCAGTCTTTCAGCACGGGAGGACTGTGTGCAAGCTTTGTATCACATTACACGAGAAAATGACTGGAGTAGTTCCATCCTGGCTTCCAGTGAACATCTGTCGGTATCAAACAGCCATCGCCACACAGAAAAAAATTGGTGAGATGCTTTGACAGACCTAGTCCTAAAATAGTTCAGGTATTACAGGTCAAAGAGGCATTGAGAAAAATAGCATAAGGTGGGAAATGTAGAGAAATGTCAACTGAACTAGAGTCTATTTCAGTACCCTGCAGTAGCATATAAATTAATATATTTACATATTTTCAACAAATTAATTTAATACTCATGAAAGATAGTAGTTCAAACTCTGTGCCCTTTCAATCCTTGGACACTTGCTTAAGCAGCAAAGAAGTCTCCAGCCCTCATTTTCCTGATGTCAAATATTCCATAGGTGTGAAAAGTATTCAAAAATAATACACAGCATGTTGCAAGGCACTATTTTAAGAAGATTAAATTGCTTCTTGCTATAAATTCCAACACTACACTGGAAAAGACGAAGAAGCAATTCCCACACTGATTATTCAGGAGAATTACAATGAGATTTTTCCCAAGACACCAAACAGTTTTCAAAAGGTAAATGGCATAGTGAGCTGCCATAAACTGCTCATTAGTTCATGTCAATTTTGGCAGCACCACAGGATCCCTGAAATAGTTACTTGAGATATAAACATTTAAGGGGGAAAATGTAACACCTATTACCACAGGTTAAATCAGTACTTCACAGTGCATCTATGTACAGTTCTCCTGCACTAATAAATAGATCATACTCAAGTTTGGACACACATTCAGCAAAAAATTACTACCTACAACTCAAAAGTAATTTGCAGAATAGGACACAAAGAAAGGATAAAACTATGAGAAAAGCTAAAAGACACAGGATTCAAATGCCACAGCAGGCACAGCTGAACACCAACTGTACAGTACCTGCAGCAGGTACCCACAGAGATGCATCTTTTAGAGGTTTGATAGACCAAGTCCTCAATCATTTATGAAGCTTCAAAGACTAAAAATAGCACCAATCCATTTGAAACAAAACTGACTTGAAAGTAACTATTTTTTTCAAATCAGGATTCAAGGCTGGGCAGGGAGATGGTGGCCACTGTAAAGAGATTTGTCTTTGAAACATCAAAGGAATAAGCCAATGATAGGATTCTTCAACAGTATTTCTACTCCTTTTCAAGCTGAAGTAGCTCAGAGCTCTTATACATGGTATTTTATTCACATGAAAATTTCGTAAAAATTTACAGGAGGTTCGAGTCTATCTTAGAAAATACTGAAACAGTCGACGCATTTCAAGACTAACTCAAACCAAAAAGATGTTTAAAAAGTGTATTTCTATGATCTGCAGTTAGGAAGAGTATCCCTGGTGCTGACAATTAGAAGTGTGTGAGCTTTATCCTGCCATAAAATTAGAAAGGAAAAAATGCCAGTCTACACTAAAACATGACAGCACACCATTTAAATTACCAGAACCTAAGTGTGCATATCATGCACTTCCAGACATGGCATTTTTAGCTTGCAGGCATCACATTTTCAACAACAGAATCCCAATAAACTTTGGAGAATACAGTCAGATAGGTGCAATGTGTAAAACCCCTCCTGTATCTGGAAACATGTTCAGCCAAGAAGGGGCAGGACATCATCAAGAACACAAAGTCAATCTGATATTTCATCCTTCCCGTTACCCTGAAAGAAATGATGATGCAAGTGAAACACATCCTTTTGTTGCCAACCACCAGTCTCTGCCTACTGGGGCTTCAAGCAGATGGATTAAAGGAAGACTTTTGAAGAGGAAGTTTGGAACAGCACTTCCTACACTGGAATGTCTATCTACCATTTGCCTGCAGTGACTGCTTTAAAATTCACATTAATATGCAAATACCACTGAAGATTTTAGAATTATGCTCATTTATCTACAGAAAGCTCCTGATTTCCACCACATTTTCACATTTTCCTTATGTGTACAAGTGTTTACTTTCATGCAACATAACTGTACTGCTACAGATCAAGACTGAGATGGCCACTATTCTCAGTCACTGCAGGAGACTCAGCTTCTCTAATCAAGAAGATGAAATTTCTACGATGACTTAAAAGATCATATTTAATAGTATGCTGCACACCTATTAGCAGAAAAATTCAGCAGTCTTGCTAAGGACTCTTTCAGTAAAATAAATGACACAAAGGTATTTCATATGAAGCAGCTGTCATCAATACACAGAGCAAAGAATGTCCCTGCTGAATGCAGGTTTTAACACCATTCAACAATCTCAACTCACTCTCCAGGGCTGCTCAGTCTAAGAGAACACCTGAATTTTACAAGCCAAGAAATGAATGTGGCACATAAAGTCAGCAGATGTAAGATCTAAAAAACCCAAGAACACCCTCCCCTTTACAAATCCAACAGAGAAGACCTCCTAATCTGCAGGAGGTTCACACCTTTCTGGAAATAAGGATGTGCATGAGGACTGAAAAACAGACGTGAACAAGATCAAGCAAGAAACCTGCAACAGCTACAGTGCCACAGACATAGTGGTAAAGCTGAGAAGAGCCTGAAGCTGCCCAGCAATGTGAAAAAAAACTCCTCAGACAAAAGGAAGAAAATACACTGGAATACTTTTGACATTAGGCAAAAGCACAAGCCCTCAGTAGCCACTCCCAGGATTATGATCACATTTGCCTACCTAGATAGAAAAGATCTGATACTGTTTCACAGGGACAGAGAAAAGGCATCTAGAATAGTCTAAAAGTAATTTTTGCTTCTCATTAAACAGTAACTTACTTTGGTAGTGCTAGAAAAATGCACAGAAGGTACAAATCCACAAATAAAGGTTCTTTTGGAATGTTTCCAGATAATCTGTCCTGATGCATAGTTTTGTGGGAAGCACCACAGGGAAAAGCAAAATAAACTCTCTGACACAGCTCCTACAAAGCCATCTGTGAGAAGCAAAATACACTGTCAATATTCTACCCTGCCAAATTCCTGCTTTTCACTGGTCAAATCAACACAAAGCCATCTGTGAGAAGCAAAACAGACCTGCATACAGTCAATATTCTACCCTGCCAAATTCCTGCTTTTCACTGGTCAAATCAATGAAGCAAAGATAGCACTGGCTTGGAGTTCTGCTGATGTGAAGGGGGGGAAAATACAGAAAACCTAATGGTAAATATATATAAATACTTATGTATTTCTTTAGTCTGTCTTGTACCAACACAATCAGAAGTCAGAGCTATGCAGGTTTCTTTTTTTTAACCCTCTCTGGGATTAAACACTTCCTAAATAAGCAGTATTATGAACAGCTTTGCTGAGAGCTACCCTAAGAAGCACAGCCCAAATGTTTGTGTTAACTTAGAAAAAAACATATTTGCAAATCAAAACAATTACAGATAAGATTTTGTGAAAGGAGAATTGACGGCATGTATCTCATCAAGAAAGGACAGCAACTGGTATCTTTCACAGAGCAATTACATTGCAAGGAGTGCCTCAGTACCCTCTCACTGAAACTGGTAGATGGTCCTCAAAATTCTCAAATTGCGAAGTACTTTCCTAGTTTTGAAAACTGACACTTATTGTTTTTTGAAAAGCACATTCTCTTTTCAGTTTCCATTTTTACTGCTCTTCTCAGGCTTTACATTACAATAGCAAACATGGTAAAAGCTGAAAGGGCTTTGCCTGTTCAGTTGGCCAGAGTCCAACAACATTATGTCTTACTTCAGGCAAAACATTTGTTTCAAGCTTCAAGAAAAAAAAACCAGCAGCCTGAAGCACATTTCCATGAAGTGATAAACAAACAAATTGTTCCATCTCTGGCAAAGAATGAGATGAGTCAGGCTTGCATGACTGGGAAGGTGTTCAGAAAGCTCACCTTGCACAGGCGTCACTACTGTCCCCTTGAAATGCGGATTTATGTGGATGTTCTTCGGCTGCTGAGGTGTCACTGGAGGGGGAGTCATCATTATTCGAGGTGTTTCTATCTGAGGGGGCATATGTAGCCCTGGAGGAGGAGAAGAATGATGCTGATGCTGTAAAGGAAGCAGAGATTGTAACTGTTGCTGCTGCTGCTGTTGTTGCTGCTGCTGTTGCTGTTGTTGGTGTTGTTGCTGCTGCTGTTGCTGCTGCTGGAACAGACTCATAACAGGTTGCTGGTGTGTTGGAATTAACCTCTGTGAGTGAGTCTAAAGTCAGACAAAAGAACAGAGTCACTAGGCTTTAAAGTTAAAATATTCTGACATAAATGAGCACAAAACCAAGACATCTCTGGAGAACAATTAAAGTCAATTATGAACAGAGAAACTTCTTTTCCTTATAATCAACTTCCACTAAAAACCATCAGCACAGGAAAGCAAAGGAGCAATCAAAAACATTCATGTGAAGCAGAAGACAACAAAGAGCAAAGAAGCACAGGGAATGCAGACACATTCTCTCATTTTTAGCACTGAAACTGTCCAGTTTCATATAAAGTCAGGGCTCTGCATAGGTCAGTGTTATTAACTGCAATAAGGTTTATGTGAAGATCACTAGAAATCTGAGTCCTAGTACCAAAAAAAATCCACTACATTTTGTCTCATGTATACAAGAGCCTCTCCGAGATAACATGCCTAGCACTAGCAACAAAAGTCAAAATACAAATTCAGATATCAGTGCAGCACAAACTGGAATACTCTTCAGTACCAGTGCAGCACACCTATCCATACTGCTTGAAGAAAAAACTCATTCAAAGTTATCTTTCAAATATATCCTTCCAAACACAGATGAAAGTCTCTTGCTGCTCAACTCTCAAAAACAAATGGCGAAAATCAGTGCTAATAAAAAAAAAAATAGTGTCTCTTTTCAGAGACATCCTTCTGCCTCTAAAGTCACTGTTACTAGATCTCAGTTCTAGACCAGCAACTTCCAAGTGGCAGTGCAAGAAGAGACCCAAAGAGGCAACCTTTTAGCAACAGAGGTGTGACAGACTGTTTCTTGTTTCTTTCAGTGTACATAAAGCAAAGCAGCTACATAGTATGCACAATAAGACACTGTGATGAACACAAAAATATTTACATTTCAAATCAAAATAGCTTGCAATGACTGCAGTAAAACAGAAAAAAAAATTACTCAACCTTCACTGCTTAAAAAGCATGAAATACACTACTGCAGGGCTCTCAAGCACTGAGATATCCACCAACTCCTGCCAGTGACCAGCACCTACTTACTGCTGCTGGAAAAAATCACCTTTGTTTAACACAGATGACCTTGTCCTGCAAAGATATACACAGACCTTGTTCTACAATCTCAGCTTCCAGTATATTTTATGACAGTGAACAAAAATAAGTGTTGACCTCTTGATCACTTGCTGGAGATGGTTTTGGTTTTTGTAAGGTTTTTTTTTTGATGGAAAAAGTAAAGTCTTACCCTTGTGATACAAAGCACAGCAGAGAAATAGAAAGCAGTAACAAAGCTAAATTTCATTTGAAATCCCAAAATAATAACTTAACTAGTAGTGAAGTGCTGATTACTGTCCTAGGGTTTTATTTACCTCCACAGTAGCATAGTTTATATGCAAATAGATTTTTTAAAGAAGTATCAGCAAAAACATTACCTTGACAGAACCCAAGAAGTATTTCACAGAACTGTATTTTTTAAACCACATTATAATAAATAATGGGGGACTGAACATGCTTCCATGTTGCATGTAGACTTCTCAGAGGAATTTAGTTTTTCCTCCATCCTTATGCAAACCAGCAGGTAAATGTGACTGTGATTCATCACTCAAAATGCTCTTTTCCTTTGGAGGTCTTGAGATTGCTCAAGGTGAAGCCAGTAACAGGACTAAGCACATACTTTACTATCATCACATCACATAAAGCCCATACTGCCTAAGAGAGCCCTGAAAGAGCAGAAGGTCTACACTGCAATACATATTCCACCTTTGCAAAGATTCATGATTTAAAATGCATTTCTCCACAACTTCCTGTAAGGATGCTCAAAGAACACTAAGGATTGAAAGGTACCATTGATGGCTGGTTTGGCAGCAGTGCAGGCCTGTGATCCTTCATTCTTCCCCTATCATTATTGTCTCTCCTTTGTTCTCCCATTCCGTGGCACATAACTGAGCCTCCTCTTCTCCCTCCTCTCCTGGAGCCGTATCGCCCCTGCTTAAGCTGCCTTTCCCTCTCTTCAAATTCACGTAATGCTGCTTGGGCTTCTGCAGAAAGCTCTGTTGAGAGAGAAACAGGGAAAATTATTGTAGCTTTGTGCTGAGAAGGTGGAAAACACAATGACAAATAAGACACTGCCAGAACTACAGAAGAATCCCTGCAACTAACAAAGTTTGCAGGCGCTTTGATCTCCTTTAGGTGGCATGTTAACATTTCGTTAAAGACATATTTACAAGGAAAAAGCACAGATAATTCTGTCTTCTGCAAAGACAAAAAGCAGCAGATAAATGAAACAAACATGAACAAAAAGATTTGGTTGTTTTCTTTTTCAAGATGGTATTGAAGTCTGCCTTCTGATCTAAGAGGAGGCTGTGTGTGGGTCCCCTCAAAGTTTTGTTATCTTTAATATCTCTCTTATCTGCAGATGTCAGGCCAAGACAATGAATCTGCTGTAAACTTTACAGTAAAGGATCTGTTGAGTCTTCCAAAAACAGATTTTATGCACCAGACTTTTCTGCACATTGGCCTATTCCCAAGAAGGACATTCTGCTTGCTGAAGTGCTTCTAGTACATAACTACTTGTTTTACTGTATCTGGTTTAAGAACCAACTCTACTTCACAAGTGGTAATTCCACTGAAGAGAGAACACACATTATAATCTGTGCTCAGCTCAAGTCAAACACGTGGCTGCTGGTAACACCCACCCAACTCACAACACAAGTAAACACCAGAAAACATGTGGTACTCAGCAAAGATGACAAATCTGCTTGAAGCCCTGGACAGTGCTGACATAAAGCAAGAAATGATGCAGTAATAGCCCCAGATAATGAAATCACTTGAATATACAGAAAAGGTCTAAAACAGACTCCAGAAAACACACCAGGAAAGTATAAGCAGAACCACGCACCAGGTTTCAACCTCTTACAAGGGGTAATAAACTTTAACTCAAACATGCAGCTGAATCTTTCGCCACGTGCTAGTCAGATCCTTTGTTATCCCTAATATTGATTTCTGCCTCTAACAAAGCAAAATTAAACTACTAAAAACAATTACACTCGTGACAAATAAAAGCATATTTTGAATTAATATGGTATTTACTTGTCAATACTACACACAGTGGCCATAATATTGGAATTAAAGTAGTTAGTATCTGGCAGGAGACATTACTACTGTGTCTCCACACCATTAGATAGCCTCTCCCAAGAATATATAACTAAATCAATTAGAAAACTCTTACAATTTCTTGTGAGCTATTTAAACCACCACCATCTTTAACATCTTCATAAGTAATCTCTATCAGGCTTTGAAGTCGAGCATTGACAGAAGGGCAGAAAAGGGTGAGCACTGAGCATTCCCTCTGTGGCAGATGTTCTTACTTTGCTGCAAAAACTACCTGCATGACTGAGCTGCAATGACTGTAAATTTTCATGTCCCAGTTTTCAGAAGTATTCAGCACCTCCACAAAGCAGGAGCTTTTCAATTTTTAAAAGTTCTGAACTTGCTGATGGCCTGTAAGAACACAGCAAACATGACAGACTTCTAAAATCCCAGGATCTGCCCGAGTTTCCTATTTCATTTTTGTACGTTGGTGATGAGGTAAGTTTCTGAACCTCCTTTTCTCTCACTCTGACACCACAATTGAATGGCATGAAGCCTTAACAAATACTCTTATGAAATGCTACCTTTGCCCTCAAGGCACAGCTCTCTGCCCAGCAGAGCCCAAGAGAATCAGGCTTTACCAGAAAAATCTTACAGAATGCTTAGAATGAGGGAAGGAACCACAGTCCCTCAAGTCTTAGGTATGAAATGTGCATTTCTGACAAAAATTAAGAGAAATGTACTCTTGCCCAAAGCAGTTAAAAGCATTAGAAGGAAGCAAAGCAACTGCCATAGCCATCTTTGGCTGCCAGGGATCAAAAATGCTGGTTGGTGGGAAAAACAAAGCTCTGATTTCAAGTCTTGCTCCTCTCCACACCTGAAGCAAGCTGCATGTCTTCAGAAGCCCACAAACACTGAAGGGCAAATGTGGGCTTTGACCTGACCTGCCTGAAAGACAGACCCCTACTCTCCATACATCCAAGGGGGAAAACAGTGCCACTATGTTGCAAAAGAGTAACTCTCTTTCCCTTATCCAGAAATTATCCAAGTCCTGCAGGGCATCCTGGGTGTTCTGCTGCTTGGAGAGTTGTTTTGTTTTCCCAGGAATAGGACAGGCATCTTCCACACTACAACCCTGAACTCAGCACTGGAAAATAAAGTACATACCAATGATGGCCAAGCAAGATAAGAAGCAAGTTCCTATTAAATAGCTTAGAAATCACATGTGAGGAAAGTAATTTTTAATGAACCTGGGAAGAGAGCTAGGCTTCCTAAAAAGCAAGACTATGGCCAAGTTTCTCAGCCTCTTGAGCACACACTGAAGCACACTGAATAGAAACAACTCTGGAAGAAAGGATGGGCTGCTCCAAACAAAATTACTTCAGAGCATTGTGTTGATTAAGCTTGGGGAAGGGATGACAGCATCCATGCAAAGTCAAGTCTGTCAATCTTGGATGTGCAGAATCATTCTCTTTAAAATACATAAATTTTTTTCCTTCTGACTTTACATAACATTTCTCAAATTTTTAAGGCGGTGTCCTTAAAGGCACAGTCCACACGCTCCGTTTTTCAGCCAGAGTAGAGACCAACTTTGGAAAAAAATCCCAAACAAAACCACACACAAATTCACATTCATACTGCATCTATGACCACAGAAGTACAATATAACCACTGGATTTCAAATATAACAAGATCACATCAAGCAGACTTCCTCCACAACATGCCACTGAGGGCAACTGTCCAACCTGTGAAGAATTTTGTCTGGACACAAGTGCAGGTTCAGAACCCTCTTGCAAAAGTTAAAACTGATGCCATGAGCACCTCAAGTGCTGCATGTAGCTACACACCACCACACAGCAAAATATAATCAGCTCTATTATGAGGGGGGCTGCATATTGAATTTGAGAGCACTGTGCCCCTCACACAGGGATCAAGCACAGGAGAAGAAATGGGAGATGGTTTTGCAAGGAGGGAAGCAACAAAAACAGTCCCTGCTTCCCTGAAAGCAACCTCAGACTGCTCAAGAAAAGAGGGGATGAGCAGAGGAAGAAGAGATTCTCCTTCCTTCCCTGGGCTCTTCCAAAGCACAGCCAGGTATCCATTCACATGAATACAGCTCCTCCCCAGCTAAGAACTCATGCACAACTACAAACACATATTCATTTACATATATATGCAGTATGTTGTCATTTCTCCTCATCATCCAGATCTGCAAACTGATTATACTCTGTGCTTCTGGACACAGAGCAACTGGACAAATTTAAAACAGTCACTTCCCAGCCCTGCCTGAAATCTCAGACATGAGGCATCACATAAGCCAACTAAGCAGGGCCTAACAATTACTGCCACATCCAACTGACTTTTGTTAGCACTTTGCAATTGGTTCTGCATAAAGTCTAAGGGTTTGAGTTGGATATTTTTGATTAGACAGAATGGTACTACCAAAACTAAAGTATTCCCTAAGATATTTCTCCTCTTCACATTCCTTAAGATGTAACTACATCCAGAGAATAATGACAATTCCCACTCTGAGAAGGCTTCAATTACAGGCATTGAAAGAAGATAGGTACTTCTTATCAAAGGTGACAAACTTGGTATTGCTAGGAATCAATTGCAGAGCTGTCCTACAATACCCCTCTTCTGAACTTTGAAAATCCATTCTTTACATTATCTTGGATGAAGAAATGTTTAGGAAAGATCTTAGCTACATTACTGAGAACACGTATTTTTATGTCTTTTTTATCAGAACTCACTTGGTCTCATCTTGACTGTACTGTTCTCACACACACAGTTAATGCAGTGAATCAGCAATTATTTTTCTAGTGTCTCTAAGTGTCACGATTAATTTCACTATTGCTGGTAATAAAATGGTTTCAAATGACATCTTTAATCAGTAAGTAAGAATGCACCCCTCCAATAGAGACAAGCTGTCACAAAAGGTCACCAAAATGTGACAGGATGGAAATTACGTTTGTAACTTCAACTGAAATGTTAATTCCTCTTTAAGTGTTTTCTGAACTATGTTCATATTTTAGAGTAAGGAGATGTAGGTCTGCAATAAAATTTCATTTTTAAACCATAGCAGCTGCAAAAATTTGCTCTACAATCTTAAGAGGAAGCAGATATTTATATGCGAACAGAATTTTTTGTGGTTTAACCTTCTACCACATGGTCAGTTATCTGGTGTCTATCAACAAATTATTAAGAAAAACTAGTATGAATAGAAGCCATTTCACAACAGCAATACTGTGTTTTTGCCAAACATCAATTTAAAAACGTCTCTGTATAATCATCCACATATGCACTTATTTTTTCCTTGTATCTCAGAGCTACATCCCAGATCACTTTGAATTACATTTGAAAGTCTAATTTAAAGCACTTTTCCTTTAACAGTCAAGCTCCACTACGAGGTTTTCTCCTTACTGGCTGGTCTTGTTTTTATATTAAACTAAAGAATAAATATACAGATATCTGAAAAAAAACCCACAATTGTCCTTTACCTTGCAATTACATGCAGAAATTTAGTTATTCCAGTGCACTCTTGTTTTTTAAAATATTCTGTTCTGTCAAGTCACCAATACCTTTTGCATAAACAAGATACAGTCTCTATGTAGTTTGTAGAAATATGGTCTCATGGTTGGAAATCCATTTAAAATGCACCTCACCTAAAACACCCCTTGCCCTTTACTATCATTTACTACAGCTCTGCAAAACAATCCATTGCCACAAAACCTCACCCAAAGTTTCTGGAATGTTTCTCCTTTCTCTTGTCACATCTGAGAGCCTGATGATTGTTCCTTCTTTCCGTTCAGTTTTGAAACGTAATCGTCCAGACTCTTCATCATCATCCTCCTCCTCATCAGACTCTTCTTTTGTTTCTTCTTGAAGTTCCAGAGACCCAATAGCTGCCTAGATCACAAAAACCAGAGAACATGTAGCCTCAAAAAACCAAGTCTCTTGTAAACAGTAACAAAAGCAAAGCTTTCTTTAAAAGGCCCTTTCTACAAATTTTGCTGGCTTTATACATTGTGCTAATATATAATTCAGTGAACATTTAAGAGCTGGTGATTCTTTTAAAAATAAAAATACATGTACTACATAATAACCAAGACAGTAAAATATATTTAGAAAATAAATTTGCTGTAATATTTAAGGGATTATTGAAACTCCAGTTAGAACCTCCATCTGATTAGTAGGCACTTCTGCACACAGATTTTTGTCACTGAATTGACTATGATGCAAACCCTGGTTACTAAGAGATTCAAATAATAGGAACAGTAAAATCCTATATTTTTTCATCTTTTAACAACTGTCAGTACCATGCTGTTTAAAAAACCCAACCAACCAACAGGATAATCTTGCATCTCAATCCCATTCCTCTAGGTATGTGTGTCTTTACCTTGTTCCTCAAATACTTCCCAATTTCAATTCAGTAACTGATGGGGAGAATAAGAATAGGATTCTGGATGCTATTGGAATGCTTCTGGAATTTACTTTCCAGTTCTCTCTAAACAGAGAACATTTATTTAAATACAACAATGTTCCAAATGAAAATGGATCACTCTCCTTCAAATGAACAGAAACAAACAAAAAAAATCATGTTCACATGTAGGCCTGATGAAAAAGTCCAGAGTGTTACAGAAGTTATAAAGGATTTCTACAGCATTAGAAGTGTTCTAATATCATGTGATTCTCCAGAAAAATTTTTGGTTACTACTGTGTATTTCATTATTTTTTGTACAAGCCTACTTGTTCATTTCTTACAGCCTGTTAAATTAAAATGCACATGCATTTTAATTCTATGCAAAGCCACTAAATACATCATAAATTTAATGCTGCTTGAGGACAGTTAAAAAATGAGCTAAATCTAACATGGAAAAATGGTTTAATCTTCTAATTAACCAGATCAGTGGAGAAATTTATATGAGAAAGGCACAGCAAGTGTGACAGTCAGGTGGACAGATATTAAATCACAAATCAAGAAAGAATTAATGGCATAATTGTGCAAGAGATTGCAAATTTCCCTATCCAACAGCCTAACTTCATCCACAACCAAAATAAAAATGTGTGAAGCAAGATCAGAGACAGGGTGACCTGGCAAAACAGTTTCTGCTTTAAAAAAAGACAGCAAACCTTATGAACTCAAGCTCAAAGCTACTCCAGCTTTGGTCTGGTGAATAAATGATCTGTATACTTAGTTACAGGGCTTTAATGGGCTACTGATCCCAAGTTGTGCTTTATCCATTCCAGACAAACTTTTAAGCATTCCATTTCCTGACCTCACAAAACTGCTTTAAGATATACAGCTAAGAGAACACACAAATTTCACAAATGGCTTTAAGGCTTTCACGTTACAAATATATTTCTTTTGGTGCAACAACTTTATCATATAAAAAAAAAAAAACGCGGTAAAGTCAACAGGGAAAGCAGGAGGAAAAAAACACCTTCAGGACTGAAAGAAATCCAAACCTCAAAAGCAAACCAAAACTAAGCACAACCAGTCTAATTAACATATCCACATATAATCAAAATACCTTTGAGGGGAAGCATTTGATACTCGTAGAACAGAGGAGGGATGTTAGCAAGGAAAGAGATGTTAACGTGGCTTAATGAAAACAAACAACACCAAGAGAAAGACAGGGATGGCATTTTACTTTGAAAAGAGGCACTCCCAAAAGAGCAGGAGTAGTAATATCTCTATTAAATCTGTGTTTTCATAAATATCACGAACCCCATAATTTTACTGTCTCACTGCTTCTTTTTAAAAACTTTTCCTTCAGGATCAGGATATTGAAGTCAGAACTGGAGCAGCTGTTTTGCAAGACATGGGCTACACTGAAATTCTGGTTTTGATTAATCAAAGACTGGTCTCAATCATGTAATCTCATATGTGAGTGCTAAACTTAATCGTGCAAGGCTCTATGCGTAGCTCAAACTTCAGAACCAGGACTAGAAAGGATAATGAAGTCTACATTACCCTGAAAATTTATGCTATGTTTTAATGAAATGCTATTGAAAAAATGCTGAAACTCTGTTGCATTTTGACAATTATTCTGGAAAAAAAAATCTATTCTAAAAAGAAAACATCCCAATTTCTGACAGACTATCAGACAACTACTTACCTACAGGACAATTAAAACAAAACTTCAAACTTTTCTAGACTGGCACTATTCTACTCTTACCCACATATACCAATTCTGAAGCCTTGGTCTGACTCTCTTTATTCATCAGCATAATGCTCATGCCACCCATTAACCACCAACAGCCATACAAGCATTAAATATCAGAGACAAAAATAACATCAAAGGAACCAATGAAAAAGCAGGCACCAAGGCAAGGCAGTGCTGGAGAATGGTAACTGACCCATGCCCAAATCTGTTTACACCTTTTATTGAGGGATTTATGCAATGGAGACACAACATGTCTGACAACCACCAGTTCTCCCCACAGCTCCAGGAGAGGTTGGCTGAGCAGGGCAGGAGCACACACCCTTCTGCTGCAGTTTGTTCTGCAGCTGCAAAATGCAGGAGTCCTACATGACCTTTTTCAGCTTCCAGCCAAAGAGAAGAAGCTGTTTTGCCAAGATTACAGCATGAATGGATTCCATGTTTCAAAAAGACAACTGCAGACACAGAATTAAGCCATATCATTACCTACAGGATTGGCTTTAATACCTGCTAATCGTGAATATCTCTGCACAGATATTAACAGTCCTTGAATGGCCACTTGAGGTCACTGGACTGGACTCACCAGCCCAGGCTTCCCCAAGGGAGCTTTACATTTCCCACTATGACACCTTGCACAAAGCTACCAAAGAGCTTTGCTGACCCTTACATAGAAACAGAATGACCTTTCTTCTGCCACGAGGTCAGGGGTTCCTGCCACCCTCATTCAATAACTGTGCCCTAAATCCCAGCCACTGAGCAGGACTCCTCACACTGGGTGATGATCTGCTCTGGAGAAGGGGTGAGTGCTCCTGCCCTGAGCAGCTTACAGGCAGCAGCTGCAGGAATGCTAACAGACAGCCCAAGGGAAGCAGCAGAAACACTGACAGCATGATCCTCCCAAACATGGGATCCTCCCAAACAGTACTCAGGAGAGTTTTGTGCCAGACATTCATAAGATGTGCAAAAAACAACTAAATTAAAGGTGAAACAAAGAACTTTTACTAACAAGTCATAAAAAAGGAAGTGGAGGCATCTATTATGGGTTAACACCGAAGAAGCTGCAATTGTTCAATCCCAGGGGATCAAGAAGTAACAGGGGAGACAGGAAGATGATATACCTATTTCAAGGGCACCACGATTCCACAGATGAAAAATGGCACAAAAAAACAAGTCTAAGTGCCTTAAAATATATTTAAAAATTGGCTGTTTTGATTTGCACTCTTTTCACCACTTTGCTCCAATCTGGCAGGTAGTGTTTTCAAACTTGAACAACAGAACTAAAGTGCAGAAGTTTTGGCTAAACACAGATGGGACAAATCAGACAGACACATTGGCCTTTTTTTTCCAAGCCTTTATTCTATCAAAAGAAAAGCAGTATGCAGCATTTCTTCATGAAATGCTTTCTTGATTACTCTTCATTTCTCATCAGCATAACCCTAGACACAGTTTAAATTATGCAATGATAAATCCTCCATCATTGACTTCACAGATTACTTCCAATATAAAACAAAAACATCATGAACTCTAATTTCATGAGGTTCAATTCTTACGAACATTTAACAGAAGTAATTAGTGGTATTTTTCCTCCAAAATATTTAGGACATGATACGTCATGTGGCTGTTCTACCACACCTATCTGCTGCTGAAACTTCTGGGTGTTGGGTTTTGCTTTATACCTTATGAAGGCAAAAATATTTTCTGAAGCACTGCTATGTTTTTCAAGGAAGTCACAAAGATTCATTGTTTATTTAAAATTCAAGTTCTACAATTTTAAGCACTGTTTCCAAAACAAACTTTTACCTGCCTATTCCTCACTTCTCCCACCTGAGTGCCACTTGTAACAATTGTCTCATCTCCCTTATTCCTTGTTTCCCCCCACCATGTTCCAATTCCCAAGCCAGTCAGCTTTTCTCTTGGTTTATGAAAGGATTTATTTCTTCATGCAATACAGTAAGAGGCTTTAGCCGGTTTTAATGTGGTAACTGCTTAAAATAAAACACCACCCAACATTCTCCTCTGTTACTCAGATGCCAAATTTCAACCAAGAGATAATAACGCTCTTTCTTTGTACCACATCCTCTACAGCTCCACTCTCATGCTGCAGGAGAATGCCAACCCTTACCCTTGTAAACAGGCACTGAATGTTATGGGATTTAAGGAAAAGTGCTGTTACTTAACACTTGAATAAAGAACAAAACTCTTCAGAGCTGGAGGCAGGCACCTAACCATGCAATGAACAGAAGTGCACACTCTACAAAGGTTCTCTCTCATGGTGGTATTCTTTGGAGAGTGCAACTGTGAGCCTACTGCCAAATGGAACTAAGATCCATACACAATAATAAAGTAACAAAAAGATGGTACTGTTTTGGAAAGAAGAAACCTGTAACAATCTACAAAGCATCAGAATAAAGCCAAAATGTAGAGTAACTGAAAGTATGGCCAAAACATTCACCTTATATGATGAACAAATTCCATAAAGGCTTCGTTTACAAAACCAAATCAAAACTTGCATCGATGGTACCTTTTGAAAAAATTAAATCTAATTCTGAATTAGACAAATTTAGACAATGTGATTATTAGAGAATTCTCACTCTGGAGTTGATTCTCCCAAAATGAAGCTGTGGCTTTTTTTACAGCACTAAGTCTGGCAGTGAGTCCCAGTTATGCATTTAATTTTACAGGATGTGCATTGTGTCCATCATCTCAGACTATGGCTGGAGACACAAATGCATCAGTTCACCTCCAAAACACCAAAACAAAAGTGTGTATCATCAATCCAGTGAAGGAATAAAAAGTGCTCAAGGATTTCACAGTTCTTTTGAAGGGTAAATTTAACGCTTGGGAAGTAAGAAATTAACGACATGAATGTGTGTTTGGTGCAAGATGTTATGCTTGCAGCAGTGAAGGCTGAAGGATGCAGGTGGTTCCTTTCAACTCAGATCTCCACCTACCAAAAAATGTTGTTTTACCAAGATAGGTTTGATACAACTGGAGCATCACAGCAGACCCAGTTGTGAGAACTTCATACAGTAATGCTGCTGTGTCTTTGAGGAATTAATTTCCTGATGAGTTAAAGCTCCAAAGAGGAAATACACTCTGACTACTCTTCTCAGCAGGTAATCCATTCAATCCTATTTAATTAAGAACTGGAATAAAAGTAATATTAAAGCAGATTCCTGGTGGGGAAAGGAAAAAATCTTGCACCAAAAACTTGCTGCAATTAAAAACTGTTGTGATACTCCTGCCTAATAACAAAAGGAAAAACCTTGCAACACAGTTGAAGTGATAAGATAAAAAAGCAATTATTTTATGAAAGCTTGCAGGTGCACAAAATATGGCACTGCACATGCATGATACAGCATTTCTGTAATTTTATAAGTTAATTAATTAGTTTATCTAGCCAGTAGGATAATCACCCAATAGGAAATCAGTTATGGCAGTAATCCAGCCCTGGGTCAGTTGGTCCAGGGGCTTCTTTCCCTTTTTTCTTGTTATGTCTCTTAGGTTCATAAGATATCCTTGTCAGGAATTATCTTCTTAAGAATAAGACTAAACAGAATTTCAAGAATGTAGAGTAAAGGTTTGTTAAATTGTGAGAGAGGGTAGGAAAAATACTAGAAGCTACACAAATCTATATTAAACATCTACAAGGCTACAGATATATGAAAAACATGAAAAGCTAAAAAAAATCTTCTAGCCATCACTACCAGGCTATAATTAGTGAATGCACACTTGGCAGACTTTAGAAAAAGCTTTCTTACTGCAAATGAAGGAACTCTCCATTTTCCTCACCGAAGATGATAAATCATAGGAATTTCAGTCTCAACACAAATTTCAAAACAACAATCTCTTTGCCCTTACAATACGTTACACTCCCCTCCTACCCTCTTGGGTATCACAGGGGGATACCCAAGAACTGTATGTACACCCCAACAGCACCAATGATCCACCTGGAAAGGGAAGCACCACAGCTCTTGGAGATTTAACAGACTGTGCAGTATTACTGTCATTTCCTACCCAAATAGGCCCCAGAAATTTCTAATGTTGAAGCCAAGACTAAATATAGACATTTTGAGCTTTCTCTTACGATTCTAATCCCAAAGGGGAGAGAGGATCTGATGTATCTGACAATATAGATGCTACCACAATTCATTTTGTACGTAGAGTACTACCACCAATAATTCAACACTGGCAAAGTTGCATCAATTCTTACCCAGCAGTATGTACAATTCTACAAAATCAAATTGTAACAGAACTAGTTATTTAAAGTTTCCATTAAATTCATGACATACCTCTTCTGATTCATTAGCCATTGTCTGGGATTCTTCCAACTCCTCATCAGCTGCATACTCTCCTTGTTCTTCCATTGCTTGCTCATTATATGATTGCATGTAATCTTCATCCTAATGAAGTAAACAGGAAGGTGAAAGGACACAAGGCAAATGAATAGGTGTGGTCTGACTGCATTGCTGCAGCTTCCAGTGCTGCATCTCCGGGAACAGTCAACTCTAAGTGATACGGCACAGCATAATTAGCAGGGCTTTTAACCAGACAATGATTTCAATATTATTAAAACCAAAACAGTTTCCATTCATATCCCAGCAATGTCATCCTAAAGTTCCCATTTAATACTGTTCGTCCTAACTACTTCTGTAGTACTTTTATCTGCATCCACTGATTACAAATTGATGAAGCAAACACTGCAGGACTTTCTGGCCATAGCACTTAACAGGAGATTTCACCCATCAAATATAAACATTCTTAAAGCATTCTGCCAGGGCTTACATATGAGTGGGCTCAACTCTGAAAAATTCTGAACATAAAACAAAAGCAAAATCTTGCTTAAGTTTACTTGTACTTTCAAACACCTCACTGATCACAGACTGTTTTAAATCATATCATTAACAATTAAAGTCAGTGCATGTTTTCTAATATGCTGCTTAAATTATATTGAATTATGCAGGTGACATTTTCTGAACTAACCTCCAATCTCTTTATTCAGGTTTAGACAGCTCTCAGTTACAAAAAGGATGAACAAGCAGGACATCAATCACTTTGGGATATTAGCACCTTAAAGATGTCTTTAGCAGGTCAATAATCTTTTCACCTTGGAAGGACTTTATCAGATCTTGTCTAAAGCCTGGATAAAAGCTTTTGCATTAAGTACTTCTAACAATTGGCAGTGTATCTCCACCACACAAAGCAGTTTTCTTCCTTAAGGATACAACCCTCAAGGTCATGATTCTCAACTGCTTTCCAGCATGACAAAGGAGCATTACCTACCGCCAAACAAGCTGTCAACACAAACTTTGTCACAGCCTAGATAAAGAAACTGGCAGACAGTGATAATACGTCTAATTTCCCCTCCTCCCCAGGGAGGTAAACAGATTTTAAATCAATCTAAAACCTTATGCACGTGAAGCAATGTTATCTTTGAAGATACAATAGAAGGAAACTCACTGGAAATTCATCTAGGGGTTCATTGATTTCAAGGTCTAGCACTTCATCTTCTTCTCCAGGCTCTTCCCCATATTCTATTTGGTCTTCTGTCAGTTCAGGATCATTGCCTTCATAATGTCCTTCCTCTGCATACTCTGAGGCATATTCTTCAGGTGCTTCAGATTTGTCATAACCCATTTCATCTTCCCCCTGGTCATACTCAGACTCATGTTCCAGTGAGGGATCGTTGATGGACTCGTACGACGTCAGGATGCCAGATGTGGCATTGAGGCTCACTGTGACACCTGGAGAGCTGTGGGACAGAGGGAAAATTCAGAGGCTGAAGTCTAACTGGCAACTACTCACAAAGATTCAGCAAAACAAAGCCACCAAACGTAAAACCTCCAAGTTGGTGGATAGAATTATAGCCCATACACTATTTGACTCCTTGCCATGTTCTCATAATGCATACTAAAATGCAGCTTATCACCAGCTGCAGGCTATTTGACCAGGGGAATCAAACCAACCAGATGGTTTAGCAGGTCAAACTGGCACAAGTCCTGCTTGGTAACCAAAGCAGACCAGATTCAATTTTAATTCCAAGCCTAACAAAAAAAAATACACAAAATTACTGTAACTGCATCTGTTTTTCCAATCTTTCAGAATACACTAGTGAAATACTTTTTATTAAATGTATTAACATTGTTCATTCTTGACTATCTTGAATTCAAACTTGCATTTTAATGATAGATTTAATGTTCTACTTAATATAGAACAAATAGTCAAGAACTGTAATGTAAACAATTAAGACATTCTTAAGTAGCACACAGACACTGAAAAAAAAAACAAATCAATACAAAAGCTGGCATGTTTATAATCTACACGCAGGCAAAGAAAAGCTCAGAGTTTACTGTTTACAAAAGCCAGTGCCATCAACACAAAGAAGCAACTAACCAATAGCAGACTAGTTCTTGATTTGAGAGCTCTGTGTGTAACAAACACAAAGAATTTATTTTTTTTAAATAACATTCCTATTATTCTCCATTTTCCTAAGTTTGGGGGGACAAGATCCAGGCAGCTTTGATCTATTTGCATCTCTAAGAGAAAGAAGATTTAACACAAAAGTGAAGACATTATGCAGGACTATCATTATCCTCCCAACTACAGAAACATGAGGTTGACTGGAAACATAAGGGGAAGGGAAAGGCTCTCTCTGGCAAGAAAACTGCTAAAAATCTTGCAAAACTTGTCTAGAGAAACCTGCTTCCACTGAGCAATATTATCACATTTGAGATGTTAGGACATAGGATTTGAGGAGGACATACAGCAAAAAAACCAGCCTTATCACCGCTGTGTTTGGTCACACAGCCATCCCTGCTACCCAGGGGTCTCAAGGAGGACATACAGCAAAAAAACCAGCCAAGAACTGTAACTGGGATTCCCCTCCTTGAAGGGAACAGTCCAACCCCCACTCCTGCAGGAACGAAAATGGCAGCCAGTGAAAAGACTGATGGTGGAGTATTTTACCACAACCTCAACATAAGTCCAAGATAAGGACAGGAGGCCTTATCCTAATTTCAGCTAATACAGGAGATCTCAGAGATGGAGATACACCTATGTTATATATACATATATATATATACACACATACATACATACATTCACAGCCCTTCAGATGACATGCCCTGCACAGCATGCAATAAGGGAAAGCTAGAAAAACAGGCCAGTAAAAGCAGCCAATGGCACTGCATCACTTTGGCATTACAAGCATCTTCTCTCCTACTTCAGTCCATCTTGAAAAGTAAAAACAACAAGACACTCATTTTGACTTGTAATACCCATAATTCAGCTGAGGAACCATATTACCACAGGGTATTCTCAGGGCAGGATTCTCAGTAAACTCCCATGGAAATACCTGCTCCAGCCTGTTCAAAATTTTCTGCTATGTAACTGTACACAAATATTTAACTCACAAATTCCCCTCCTCAGAGTCTCAGGAGGTTAAGATAGATTTTTAAAAGAAAGATGGCAGAAAAGGACTACATATGAGTGATGCCTTTCCCTTGGTCCTAAAAATTAAGAGCCAGACACAGTTAAGGGATAAAGGGTTTTTTCCATATTTAATAAGGATCCTTATGGTGCACCACTCCACCAAGGTGGAATGTACCAAAATGCACACAACACATGACAGATGCAATACACAATTTATACACCTTACAAATCAGCATATCTAACAGATGCCCCAATGAGAGGCCTGAATGAATAGTGTGTTATCCTCCCACCCTGAGAATTCCCCCCTGGCTGGGCCAAATCTCTAACTTACAGGATGGATTCTAGAGAGGACCTTGGTTTCCCAAGACAGCACAGGGTTTTCCAGCCTCCTGCTATGAGGCCTTTAGGATGTTTGGTCTCCTGGCCTAACAGAACACTAGGACTATGATAAATTATCAGACTTAAGGAATTACAAGTATGCATGCTAAGTGCACTGAGGATACATAAAAGTGATATGATACATAAAAGAAAAGGCATAAAAAATCATCTGGCATCAGAAGAAGGAAGCTTACCACAGTAAGCAATACTGAGGCAGTAAAGAAAGCTCTATTAGTGCTTATAATTAATTCAATATGCACAGCAGATGACATAGTTTCCTGAGTAAATCTATTAGATCAAAATAAACAAGAAATAATTTTACTGAAATGTTAACAATGCTACTGAGTACATTATACACACATCACTAAGTAACTGGTTAGGTGAAAAGCAGAACTATTTTAAGTATATACCAATAACTTTAGTTTAGCAGTTATTAGTTATCAGTAATAGAAGTCATTCATAGCAGCTTTGAGTTATCCAAAACAAGATTCAAAAAAGAAATACCGAAATTCTTGCTCCTCTTCATTGTCACTTTGCAGAAGATCATCATTCAGCTCTTCATCTGACAAGTCTGACTGATTCTAGGTTTCAAAAAAAGTCAATCATGAACATAAAAGATACAAACTTTTAACTAAGTACTGAAGGCTAAATATTATTAATGAAAAATACATCCCAAACTAAGACCATATCTTCAAAGAAATTACCTAATTCAATGAGATAAAACACAAAACATAAGATCACAAATCTTAAATTACATCTTTGACAACCCTAAGGAAATTTACAGATATCAAATTTGTCTATCAACACTTCTTTTTCACTGATGCATTCTCAAATACAGCCAAAGATGACACCTCACTTAAGACAGACCAGGAAGGAAAAAAGGTTAGCTCTCATACACAGCCTTGTGACCTTGATGCATTAGGCAAGTCAAGAAAATGCATGTATTGCAACTTCTAGAGAGAAGAGATAGGAGACTGGAAGAAAGATGTGATCAAGAAAACTGAAAAATCATGATTAGTTTGTAAGAGAAGGAAAAAACATAAGAAAATACTGTGTCACAGCCTAATTTGTCTCTCAAACAAAACAACTTTGTTTTTTTGTTTTGTTTTTTTTTTATAATTACCCCCTAGGGAGAGACAACTGCAGTTCTGCTGACCAACATGTCCAACCTCTAAAGCTGGAAAGGGCCAGAAAGGTTACACAAAGATAGATTTATCTAGAAGTACTGGGATGAGACTAAGTAGAAGGAAGTTTAGCGTAAATAACCCAGGGAAAACTTTCTGAGAAATCCATTATTACCCCATCACATGAGTCCATACCCACAGATACTGCCCTGTAACACAGCAAATTGAAAAGAAGAATAGAAAAAGCACAAAAACCCATAATACACTGGAGAATCAAGTACTGGTTAGTATTCACATATATAATTTTTAAAGACAAGTAAGCAGCTTTATCACCTCCATTCAATGTTAACTGCTTCTGGTTTTGGTAACTGTGTAACAAACTTTGGCAATTATTATCCTCCTGGGATTTTATTCTCTTTAAACCAGCACAGGAGAATAAGGAACTTCCCATCTTTAATAGGAAATCCTTAGAGAAGATAAAATAATTTCAAGTTAACTACCAACACTTAAAAGATTATTATAAAAACTACATGAAATAAAACTCAACTCTTAACAGAACTAGGTTTCTTAACAACCTGTTCATCCCCAATTGGAACTTCAAAAACTACTTTCAAAATTAGTTCATTTAGAAGATAAAATACAGAAAGAGGTGACCAGTCAATTTGATTTCTCAAACAGAAGTCCTATCTTCTCCTATGGATATCTGGGAAATCCAAAGATACATTTAGCTCTTTTCACAGAGTTAAATCCTCAAAACAGGTACCAGCAGGAAGGGTCACTAGCAGACATGGGGAAAACTTGTTTATGTTCATCAGTTTTAGCAGCTGCCATATTTTTCCCCTCACTTCAAAAGGGGGAATCCTCTGTTCTCTCATCAGACAACAAGGTAACATCATGCACACTGAGTGTGAACTTTCAGAGACAACAATGACTGCTTTTTTATTTCCTCTCTGGTAAATACTGCTGGTATTTTGACAAGTGATTTTTAACAGCCAGGAAAGTGGCACTTGCATTAAATCTTCAATCAAGCTAATTAGCATTCACAAGACCTAACTGGGTTGAAAACAATTTTTTCTCTAAGTTCTATTTTAAAAAGCCACACTTGGAGCTATTTCACAAAAGGAAACAGCCCTGGGCAGAATGCTCTGGCAGTAAGGCAGACCTCAGGTACCTGTGGCTGTGCTTTGGGGAGGTGACTGTAAAATACAAAAAGTCAAACCAAACACCTGAACTGTCTAAGCTGAACAACATTCACATTTTAATACCTGAAAAAATTCACCCTAATGCACATCTCTTACCTTTTTTCCAGTTAGCAAATCCTCTCCAAGCAAGTCATCATCAAGTTCACTGCAAAACAGTAACAAATTTAAGAAGCTGAACTTTACAAAACAAAACCCAAAACCTTACAGGGCATATGCCTTAAAAAAACTGCCTAAAGAAGAATTGTTGCTAAGCCAGCACAAAGCCTATTTTAGCAAAGCATTCAGGGAATAAAAGGTTTCTACTTTTCAGTGAAACAACAAATCATACATATTAAATAAGCCTGCTATTGCAGAGTAATTTCATTTCTACATGCTCTCCTTTCCATATTCCCTCCACTAAACACAGCAGAGAAACCTAGCCAAGCACAGGCACAGCCAGCCAAAACACAGCCATCCTAGATCCTTCACTCCAAGGCCATTTGGACACACTGCCCAAACTCCAAATTGCTGATTTCCAGCTCCCCAGGGAGGACATGAGACAGGAATGTCCTGCGGGCAAGACTCAGTCTACAGGTCCCCATGTGGCCCGAGCTGCACTCAGCAAGGAGCTGGGAGGCTGGGAAGCCAGCTGGCTTGGGAGCCTGGACCTGTCCTGAAGGCCAGGTTTAGGCCTTGATCTTTTATAAATACTTTAATTCCTCCTCCTCAAGTTGAGGGTAAGGTCAAACACATATTTGTAAGGTGACAAAATCAAATGCATGTTTCATCAGTTCTATATTTGTGCCCAAGAATTCAGGAAGCACAGAAAAATTGGCTTACAACACCTCTGTCATCACAGTGCAACTGGCCCATAAATATAATTCAGTGCAAGGAACTACATCCAAGGTGAGCTACACTCCAGAAACACTGCTTAATTTCTTTCCTCCTTCAGTGAAAGAATTATTTAATGACAAGGATGACCATTCCCCTTCAATAATAAGCATTTGTTACTGACAAAAGCATGTATTAGAATATGTGTATCAATACTAAAAAGAGATGCCAGTGATTTGAAATATGAGCTGTACTTTCAGAGGAGACTATTTCTACCTGCACACCTTAAAAAAACAAAGAGAAACAAAACCCATCACACCTTAGGTAGTACATAACACCCAAATCATCCCAAGTGAGAATAGCCTATATGAACTGAAAAGGGATTTGTGTAAGAGTTCCTTAGGACTACATGGCAAACGCTTGAAAATGGAGAGACAATCCCAAAACATAAATCAGTTGGTTTTCAGATGGATCAATCTCTTTCAGAGCCAATTACTGTACAGATAACATAGGAGGGAAGGGGTAGTGAGGGCTGAAAAAAATCTTGTGGGCTAGGAAAGAACAAATACACCAAATAAACCCTAAATAGGACATTATCATCAGTATACAGAATTTATGCACTGTTACCAATCACAAATAGTTCCAGGAATGACTGAACATTAACAAACAGCAATTATTTTGTGCTCAATGTAATATTAAACAAAACCTGGGAGATAAGACATATCACACATTCCAAAGAGCAAACTCACTGGAATTTCAGGCTTTTATTTCAGAGACAGGAGACTCTACGGAACAGAAATGTTTGCAGAAAAATTTCCTACTTCAATTCTGTCTCTCAAAAAAAAAATCACTAATATTTTCAACTGTCAGTAATCTGACAAATGCACCAAAATGTTTGAAAATATTTCCTAGCACTATGGCCCACCATTGACAGCTTTTAATAAAACTGCACTAGAGAAAATCCAAGAGACAGCAAGAGCATATGCTGCAGGAGCATTCAAAGACAAAAACCAAGTTTGGGTAGCAAGAAATTCAGATTAAGGAAAGGAAGGCAAAAGAAAGTGAAAGATTAATTATCTAAACATACCTGGGCCTATTTACCACATTACTAAAAAGCATCCTTGATGTGATTGTTTAGAAAAAAATTAACATTTGATCTCCAGAATTAACTGCAAACATATTCTAGATTTTCAGAAACTCTGACCTATTGCTTGACAGTCAAAAAAATTAACACTAGGATATAAATGAAGTTTGCATCAAAAGCAAAAAGTAGTTCACAGGGTGCCCTTCAGAACCTATTAAAATATTCAACAGCATTCAGTATTTTCATTGATATATTAGAAGAAGAAAAATGACCATGAGTAACTTTTTGAGTAAACAAAGTAACAGCAAAAAACCTGCACAGTAAAGTGGAACTATCTCAAGCTCCTTTATAAGTATCCAAATCTGAAGTTCTTTATAGAAAAAAGAGGGACCACAAGGACTAAATCTGACCATTAAAGAACAAAGCAAACAAAGAACCACCAAGAAAGCAAACAGAAAACCCACTGACACTAACACATCTTAGGCTAGCTGAGAAAAATAGACAAAAATTAATGGTTGCAATTTGATATCACACAAATCAACATAAAGTAAACTGGAATAGAAGTACACACCTATGCTATTTCCAAAAGCATCTCACCCATGCTATCATCAAGACACAAAAGTCTTTCCAAAACTACAATACTAGGAAAGTTTTGGTTAAGATTATTTTGGGCTTGCTGCTCTCACAAGAAAGAGACAGATTTTCCTCTCCTTCCTCAACTCCCAATACCCAACATTTCCCTCACTGAATAAATTTTGCCTTCTCAAATAACCAAAAAACAAACCGACAAAAAACCACAAAAAAAAAAAAAAAAAAGCAGACAAAAGTGGAACATTTTCAGCCAGCATAGAGAAATCAGTAATCTCAAAGAAGGGTCTGAACAAGTGAATTTCAGCAAAAATCAGCCAGTAAATCTGCCCTGTCATCTTGAAGGACAGCAGCAGAAATGCAGATTTTTCCCAAACCCAAGCTTTGGGCTACTTAATGAGATAAATGTACAAATTAACGTAATAAAGACGTCAGACTGGCCCTTTTAAGTCTCCAATTTCATAAACATGCCTCATTAAACATGAGCAGTAGCAAGGACACAAATGTTTCAGGAAAATAACTTGGAAAAAAATGGGGAAAATTCCCCAGAACAATGTTACATTTGTACTCCCAAATAACTGGGGCCTTCCAACTCTCAGTTAACACCCTCCAGGGTTTGAGAAAGGACAGAGATCTGAAAATTCAAAATTATTTGAGTGACTGGGGATGGGACTGAGTCAAGTAACAACACAGTAGGAGCTGATGGGTAATGAAGGTGTGTGACTATCAGAACTCCTTCATCTCCCCCTCCCAAATGAAGCTTTACTTGAAAACAACACATGAAGGATTAAAACCAAGATTACTGTGTTCATCCAGCCTTTTTTCCATCTCTGAGAAACTATATCCTATACTGAATTAGGCCAGTAGGTAAAACCCCCAAGCAATTACATTAGGCAACATATCCATGTGCAGCATTTGTAATTGCCAAGACACCCATAGAACTCAACCCTTACAAAGAGAGCTTTGCAATTTGAACAGAATACTATTAAGCAAAAAAATATTTCAACACATACAAATAGTATTTTATTAGATACAGCTGTAAAATAAAACTTCTGAAATTACCAGCAAAATAAAACTCTACAATCTTCTGCTCTGTACCTGAAACCACCCCTCTCACAATTTCACCATTGGATTTCTGATCATCTCTCTTTAATTAAATACAGCTAATAATAAACACATAAATTAAAACTTTTTTCTAAAACTAAGTCCTTGTATACTTTGAAGTCTCAGCTTTGTGAAAATACTCTAAAACTACTGTCAAGGCCTATTAAAATCAGCTTTGCAGGAGCAGTTTACCATCGGGTAAAAGCTTCCAACTTCTGATGCAACAGCTGCTTGACTCTCAGATCTTATCAAGTGATGAGTAGGGCAGCTACACCCAAATGTGACCAATCAACAGCTAAGAGCCACTCACTATGCACCAAAGGCCAAAAGTTCAGAAAATATTCCAATACAAAACATTCTGCCTGTAACACTGATTTAAGGTTTCTAATAGCCAGTCCTGGGGACAGGAGGCAGCACAGGGACCCAGCCTGAGCAAATTACTTGAACTACCCTCTCAAAGCAGAGCAGCTCCTTGGTGCACTTCAGCACCCAACCTATTAGCAGCTGCACTGGCCTGACAGAGAGCAGACACTGCTCATCAGCAAACAGAACACCCTGTCTATACCAGAGCTACTGCCCAAATTCCTCAGTCACATCCTCACCTCCTGCAGCAATGAAAACTACCCACTCAACCTAGCAGAACACCAAGGAAGAGGAAACTAATGCCTCTGGAATGACAATCTATGTAGAGCAGTTGACTCCCAAGGGCTCAGCTTAGTGGAAAACTACTTACAGTAAAATTTGTTTACTACAATGACTTGAGTGATTATTAGAGAAGACAGAAATCTACTACTACACAGAATATTTTTTCTCCCTTTTAGAGTGAAAACAACTGGCAAAGTCTGAAGAAGTCTATTACTAAAAAGGAATCATAGAAAAATAACAGAAATAAATGAAATGTTTTCTCCCAGAAAGAGCAGATCAGTGTAGCTAGCAGCTTGATTCCTGTCTCATAAAAGAACACACATTCTCCCCCAAAATAACCCAGAGCACACACACTTCTCTATCTTTAGAACAGCCATATTGTTGAAGAAGCCCATGCCTAAGCTCTCCTCCTCTTCCCCAATTAAAAACTGAAGTAGAACCTTGAGGATAGGAATTTAAACATCAAGTTAAAGCAAAAAAGATTTTAAAAATTAAGTTGGGCAAATTCAAGTACCAGCAAATTCTATTTAAACCACCTAGGTCTACTAAATATTTAAAAGCAAAACCAAAACATTAATTGCAAAATTACACACCATAAATACTTTGTATTTATCCAATTTTAAAAGGCATCTCTTCACAATGCTCTATATTCCTCAAGGCAAGTATATGTTTGGCACGATCTAGCATTGGCTAACACATGCAAAACAACCAACATCTTCATTAGAATCTAAATGTGCACTGCTCTAAATGTTAGAGTACAAAATGCCAGAATGGGAAAACAGAACAATGCAATTCAGCATACAGAACTGAACATAGAAAAATTCTACTTACCTGTCCCAGTCGTCATCTCCAGCTCTTCTTCTCCAAGACCTTTCTGCACCAGGCTTATCAAACTGATCAAAGTCATCATCTGTAAAAAAGACATGACTATATTAAATAATTCTTAGTGAAACTGAAGCACAGAATAGAACTCTCCAACTAGTTAACGTTACAAAGTTGTGTGTTCATGGACAGCACCAGGCACACTTTGGGAGTAACCTCCCAAAGATGTGCAAAATTCACAGAGCTCTGCCTCTCCATTTATTGACAGAAGTCTTACATATTCCTATAATTACCCACTACACCTATACAAATGCATTACCTAGCCCCCCCTACCCCTGCTTCCTATTAAATTGAGTCCAAAGTTCTTTTTTCGCCTGTGAAGTCTCTTGATTGAATTAAGTCAGTGGGCTTTGAAATGGGTCTGTGGTCTTCTGAGATCACAGTGACTTTTTACTTCTGCCTTGCTGACAGGCTTTGGACCCCTTGGCCATAAATCAAGTTTCAGGGCCCTGGTGCAGGTCGCAGTTTCTTCATTTTCACAATAGCTCCAAATATTTATCATGCTTCTTCAAACACAGTAAGACAAGTAAGTGATTTATATCTTAGCATTAACTACTCCATCTGCTAATAATCAACTATTCCCCATTACTTCTACTCTTCTTGGTATACTCCTAATCATTATAAATTGTTTCTATCTTCCTAACAAAATCTAGCTAAATTCTTAACTCTTTCAGTTTCTTTAAATCCTTGATTCAAAATGAAAGGTTGCCAACACAACCACACAGATGGGATTTTCTGGGTGGGCGTAGGAGTGCGCATGTTGTTTAGAAGATGTAAAAATACCTTTTTCTACTTTTCATTTAACATGAAGAAAACAGATGAATATCAACACAGAATTAAAGAATCATTAAGGTTGGAAAAGACTTGTAAGATTGCCAAGTTCAACCAACAACCAGCTCTATCACCACGTTCACCATTAAACCATGTCAAGTGCCATATCCATGTGTTTTTTGAACCATTCTGGGGATGATGACCTCACTTCCCTGGGAAGCCTGTTCCAAAGGTTTACAATCCTTTCAAACATGCAATCTAAACCTCCCCTGGCACAACTTGAGGCCATCTCCTCTCATCCTGTCCCTTGTTACCTGGGGGAGAGACAGAACCACCTGGCTACAGCCTCCTCTCAGAAGATAAGGTCCCCCTGAGCCTCCTTTTCTCCAGGCTGACTCCCCACCTCCCTCAGCTGCTCCTTGTCAGACTTGTGCTCCAGACCCTGCACCAACTTCCCTGCCCTTCTCTGGACACACTCCAGCATCTCAGTGTCTTTCTTGTAGTGAGAGGCCCAAAACCGAACACAGGATTTGAGGTGTGGCCTCACCAGTCCCAATAAAAAGTGATCATCCCAGCCTTTGCCTTGCTGGCCACACACACAAACCAAGATGGCCTTCTTGGCCACCTGGGCACACTTCTGGCTCATGGTCAGCCACTATCAACTAACATACTATGCTTCAACAATAAAAAAAACCCAGAATGCACTACACAGCTTTGCCTCTTCTCACTGTTGCAACAAGGACCACCCAAAGAAAACAGATCATGGCAAAATCTGCAAGTGAAGGTCATCCAGAAACAGCAGCTCCCCAGAAACGCACAGAACTGAGGTGCAGCGGAGGTGAAGGTAACATCATCTGCCAAATCTCTGCTGGCCTTGGAGGCCACAGGCTCATCCACTAACACTGAGCCTGCAAAGGCACTTTGAAAACAGGAGTAAACATCAGGACAGCACAGGGCAGGTCAGCAGCAGCAATGCAACACAAGAGAGAAGTCAGGAGGAAAAACCATCAGTCATCTCAACTGGGGCACTAAAACCACCAGAAGTCACTGAAGCAGGTTACACTCTGTACCTAAACACGCACTTGCCTTCCAAGAAACAACTGCTGCTCCATATTTCTCTCAATAAATACCCTAATTTAGCCCACCACTTCCTCTTTAATAGCTCAGTTTGCAAATTACAATTCTGCTACTTAAAAATGTAAAAACTTCCATTTCTCTCCAAGAATATGCAAAGGTCATTTGCTCTGTTCAGACATCATGTCCTGTCACCTGGAAGCACATACCCTCATATACACTCAACTTCCACTCTGACAACAGCCCAACACAGAATGCACAGCTGGATTAACTCTCCTTTCATATATTTTAACAACTTTGGTAAGAATCTAACAAGTGGACAAAACTTATGCTCAGCATAGAGGGAAACGTGCTGCAGCTGAATGGCCTGCAAAATACAGGTCAAGCAACCCAGTCCCTGCAGTCTGACACTGAACTGGGATTGCTAAAATGCCATAAATCAACTTATCCTCCTGAGTCTATTTGCACTCAACCCTTTGACCAAGTACAGTGCCAAGGAACAACTGTTTTATTCAACTGTGGTTTTTGTTTGGTTGGTTTCTTTAACAAACCTCCAAAACCAAATCTGTCTTCAGCTCTTTAAACTCAGCCCAGTATCCTTAAGTGAATACACAATGACAAACCTATTCACTTCTCACTTCACCTTATCAAAATGTCAGTATTAGTGACTGAAGGAAGTTTAAAAGAAGGTAAAAACATTAGAAATAGAAAATTCAGATCTTGCAACATCACTGTTTTAAGAATATTCATACCAGAATTTCAATAATAAATAGTTGTGAAAGAGTGCTCAGTAAGAATTATGATGCAACATGAGGCAAGGGTGGCAACTCTTATTTTTAAACATTACTTAGAAATAATTCTCCTTTATGAGATTCTCCCCTTTAGTATCAACAGATATGTCTATATTTTAATTACTTTTTTATATTTAACTGATTTACATAAGCTAAAACCATTGAAAACAGCTGTTTTACATTTCTCTGCTCAAACATCTACATATGGCTACCTCCTATTCCAATTCCTATTTCACTCACAGAGAAAAAAAAACACAAATACACAAGTATTTCCCATCTTCCTCTTGAACACTAAATTAATAAATTCTGGGGTCTCTGGGGGGGAAAAAAAGCCACATTGCTCTCTTTATGGTCACTTAAAACCATGCTGCAGCACCTGTCTTAGTGCACTGACATTTTAAGGGCATGAATACCCTACACTGACACTATTCTTACAGCTGGATTACAGTAATCCACTGACTTGATGCAACCACCACCAAAGATTATTTTCAAGGTAAAGTAACTGGTTTGGCAGCAACCCAAATAACAAGTGACCACATATTGCCTAACACAGCACAAGACAATGCCCACCATCAGGAAGACAGTAAATTCTTTCTATGCTATGCCTGCTTGCAAGATATATTTTTTCATGCCAGGCACCCCTTTAGCACTGGAGCTGCATTATAAACCAAGAGCACTTGAAGATCTGAGCTCTTAGCACACAATCCTTCCAGAGATGGACCTTCACATCAGCCAGGTTTAAATCTAGACAACACAAAATTACACACCAAACCCTTCTCTCCACAGCACAGTGGAACACTTTTTGATACAACTCAGGGCTGACTTTTCCAACCCAGACATCAAAGTTTCACAGCCATAAAAATGTTTCAACCTATTACTGCTGCTAGTCAAGAAATTATAGCAAAGGATGGTCCAAGTTCCTGTCAAGCTTCTGAACCTGGCAAGTGTGGACCTGAACTCTCACCACTCAGCCAACATCATGAACCTCCATGCTCCAGGCCTTCAACTCCTTCTCATTTCTCACATCTTATTCCTTATTTATGAGAAACTTCTATAAAAATTCAGAGCTGAATCACATCCAGCAAAGCTCTTTTCCTAAGTGCGCTCTAGCAGGATGCACACAAAATCCTCAAAAATGACTGATCCATTTGCCTGTAGCGACCACACCTTACAAGAACTGCTCCACACATCCCCTTCACCTCCCTGTTCTCATCTCCTCTCTCCCCATCTCAACACACATGATATAAAGATCTTCGGGACAGAAGGAGACAGCTTTTCTTTTTTATGCTTATTTGTTCTGTGACAGCTGACAGTGACAATGAGAATTACAAATTATGCCATTTTGACATTAAGGACTGTCAGAGCCCAGAGCAGGTTGTAGCTTTTCTTTAGAAAAGGAGGTCACAACAGTCATGCATCCACAAACAGCATTCTGTGCAGCTTTATTTGTGACACAGCAGCTCTGAAATGGACTCAGGCCTTGCACCTACAATGTGATGTGATACCTAACAGGCTTCACGAGGCATCATTTTCTCTCAATTTCTGAAACCACACAGACATTTATTTTTCTCTGACCTGTCTAGGCAATAACATCATAAAATACCAGTAAATAACAATCAATGTAACATTTATAGCTGCTTTTCCTTGAGAAACTTTTAAGTCAATGTTTGCGTCACAGGTGGTTAAATGCCTGTAAAACATTAACTTGTACAGAAATAAAACCACTCAGCATCAGCAGTTCACAACCACTGAGCGCAACAGCCAAAGTTTAATTTTTTTTTTTTGAAGTTTAAATTTTTAATTCTCAGTATTACTGTGTGGAAGATAGTAGGAAAAGAAATGGATGGTGGGAATCCATGAAAACAAGCTTCTAAAGCATTAAAATGTCTATGGCAGGGAAGAATTCTGTATGTCTTCCAGCAACCATGCACAGAAACTGTTGCTAAGACACCCCAGGCTCTGGCCATGGCTCCTCCTCACAATTCCAGGCACCCACGGCAAAGCTCACCAAGATGATGTTTGTGCATCAGCCGGGTACCAGCTGGAAGATGCTGATAGGTGATCTCTAAACACATTAAGCCACCTCTAATTTCCAGGCAAAACTAATAAGTCAAAAAAAAAAAAACCCCAAAAAACAAACCACAGCAAACCAAAGGAGACCTACTGAACACCAAAAAAAGCATTAACTGAATAAGGAAGCAGAACAGGCCAGTTATAGAGGGAAAACCCAAACCAATCCACCACTTGGCTCTTCCTACTGCAGTTCTAAGAAAATCACCACGATCAAAGTGGCAGGGAAGTTTCAGGATGCTGCAGAGAAGGACTAACGCTGGCTGACTTGTTAGACCAGCCTGCTGTGCAAGGCCCTGGCCAGCTGTGAAGCACAACACAAATA